ACCCCACTGCACGTGCAGGCGCAGGTCGTCACCGCAACTGTCGCCGGGCAGGAAGGCGGCGCCGGCCGCGGTCAGCGCCGCGCTCCCGGCCCGCAGGAAGGGGGTGAAGATGCCCCCGTGGCACAGCACCAGGTCCGGGCAGCGGCTCAGGATTACCCCGCTGCAGCTCCACGAGCCCGCCTCGGCCTGCCCGGCCCGGGAGGCGCTCACCACGCAGCCCGCCTTCTCAGCCGCCCTCATGGAGGGCCCCCACTGCCGCGCCATGTCCTCCAGAACGGTGCACACGGGGTTTCCAGAGGAACGAGGGAGAGAGCGAGGACCCTAGTCGGGACCCACGGGTCCCACGCAGCGCCACCCAAAGCTGGAAGGGAGAAGTGCAAACACTGACTCAGGTCTTCCTCGTCGGGCCCGATTGGCTAAGCCCCAACTTGCCCGGCCCCATTGGCTGGGCTTGGGGCCGAGCCCTGATTGGCTGCCTAGGCTGACCCCGTCCCTTTCCCCGCCCTCGTTGGCTCGGGCCACCTGTGCGACCTCGGGGCCGAAGCCGTCCGGGAGGATAAGCTCAGGGAGAGGGACGGCGTGTGGTTTTACCGAGAGACCGGGCTTGGGTAAGGCGGAGTCCCTTTTCTGTTCGTTGGGCTGCAGGAAAAAATAGAAATGAGGGCCGTCGTGGCTAGACTTGCCCAGGCAGTGATAGGACCTGCGTATCTGCTCAAGTCTAAACCAGCGGTCTCTGACCCCTGGCATGCTACGGGCAAGGAAATCCTTGGCCCCTTGGCCGAGGTAGTAATTTGAAATTTTGTAAATAAACCCTACAGCAATCCACTAGGTGGCATGCAGCTCACAGGACTACACCTAGGACCTTTTGATGCCAAAGCCCAAGACAAAACTGATGAAAACTGGGTTTGTGCAGAATAAAATTGCCCTTTAAGACTATGATGAACAGTAACCCGAAGTCAAAATTTTCAATTCTACAACCCTATAGTTTCCAGTGCGCACATTTCATAACCACATATAACATTTATAACCACACCTAGGATTTATCTAGGTCGGGGGCCACTTTTTCCATGAAGGGCTACAGCCTCAGTGGTTCAGGTTTTGCGGGCCATACACTCTCTCAAATACCCAAGTGTGCAGTCGTAGCAGGGCAAAAGCTAAAGGAATGGATGGCTGTGCTCCAGTAAAACTTCCCTTTGGACACTGAAATCTGAATTTTATATGTCACAAGACAGCGTTTTTCCCCCCACAGGCCATACAAAAACAGGCAACCGCCTAGATTATTGGAGTACATATGTCAGCATTAACAAAAATTATTCAATTACTACTTAAATTACATAACTTTTCTGCCTCAATTTCCGAATAAAACTAATGCTGCTCCAACAAACCTGCTGGAGAAAGTTAAATGATGACCCATCATAGTATGAGGCAGTCTTCCATAGCAGTCTTCCATAGTCTTCCATAGCAGGCACGGTCTTCTTTTGGTTCTGTGACACAGAAGATGCCTCGATCACAGGAAAATCTAATCATCCCAACTTCCTAGCAATTAAGAGTTTCTTTCTCTCTAGAGTCCCGTGATACTCCCTTAAATGACGCTCAAGCCTCCAGCATGAACCGTTCGTTATGGGTCAGGTTTTTCTGCTTACAGCACATTAGAGTCCCCAGTCACAGCCAGCAGCCAAGGTGAGACCCCCTGAGTGCTGGGCTCATTGACTCAGTCTGCACTTTTCATGTTCCACTCTAACTCAAATGACACAGACATTATTTATAAACATAGAACCCATGGCATCATTTTAGTAACAGGGACATTAGTTTCAATCACAAGATGCCTCTAACACTTTTAATGCTTGGTCAAAAAGGACCTGTTGCATTTTGCTTCCCATTCTATTTGCCCCATTACTTTAGTTTTAGAATCTCATTTGGGTTTTCTAAAAACAAGGCTTCCTACAAACCTGCTAAATGTACAAGCACACATTTCATTCCTTTCCCTATTTTACCAAATGCAGCACTCAACTGAAGCTCTCCAATTTTGTATAAAATGATGAATGGTAAACAGCTAAACTGGACCCATTCCTTGCTAGCATGTTAATAGGAGATTTTGTTTAGAAAGTATACCACCAATCCTGGGATCACATGTTCGAAGCCTCTCAAATGGTACTAAATTTACTACTTTGAAATGTGTGAATTGCCCTAGCCTTTTTTTTCTCCCGGTAGCAAAACTTGTCTCTCATATCCTTTGTAAGTATTTCTTCCCCTAGGAAGGGAACAACTTTTGCTTCCCCACCCCCACCACACACACAACAAACGTCAGGATATGTTCAAACTCAGAACCAACCAACGCAAATAAATGAAAAAATAAACGGCACAAGATAGCAAGTTTGTTTTAACTTTTTATTAAAATGCTTAGGATACAGACTGACTTTCTTTTGTAAATGACTGTTTTAACTTTTCCTGAAATAGGACATATATGCACTCTGATAAAACAGAATGAAAAATCTCAATTCATGGGAGTTCCTGTACAAAGCTCTGATCCTCACTGTTAAGAGCCAAGCTCCTCACAGCAGCTTCTTTTGCTATCTTTTTATAGAACAGTGTTTTCTGTGGAGCAAGAAATATATGCCAGCTGACTTTTCAATCCCCTTTCTCCAGTGGCCAAAATAAACCACTTTCACAAAGAGCTGAGCTGTGTAGAATCCATAGTTTTCTAGCTTGCTACGAAGTGATTAGGGACAAAGAGGAAAACACAAAAACAAAAAACAAGAAAACTAGCACTGCGATCATACTTCTCAAGTCTCTGGATAAAGAAGTATGGGTTACCTTTAGCCAAAGGAAATTAAAAAGTGTGCAAGTTAACTACCTAGTTCATTCACCATTAGCTAGATTTGTTCATTTAAGGCTTTCACCCCTTTCCAAACGAACAATTTTGTTTTAATCCAGCTATGCTTGCTAACAGAGGAAAGGCATGCTCTTCCCAGGTTTATCCTTCACTGAGCCTCTGCATTTGGTACCTGGCAGTGAGAAAGTATACTTTCCTAATAGGTCAGTACTGAAGACTAACAATGAGAAATCCACTCAAGAGTAATACTCTCACTCACCCCTGGAATATGTTATCCACACTTTCCCTACCCTCACATTAGACACAAGAATTCCACTGAATTTAGTTCAAACCTTTGCATCTTCATCACAATTTTCAGTTTTGAGGAAAACTACTTCTAATCTCGCATTAAAGAAAAAGGAAGATATCCACCCATTTTAAGAAAGGCTCTAATATTGGTTAAGATCATGAAAATCCAATTTTACACATGGCACTAAGAAAAAGGAATGCTATAAAAATGATCCTCATCACACTACTGGGCATGCTGAGGCTTTTTATACTGAGCTCTTAATGACAAGTGATGCTGGCTCAAAAAGAACAACACTACACAAAGTTCTTAAGAGTTTCCCCAGCTTATTTCTGGAACGGAGAAAGGCAATTTCATACCAAAAAAAAAAAAGGTAACCTATAAAAAGAGCTCATGACAGTCCCATAAAAAGACCAAATCCTGCAAGTGAGAATTTTAAAGCCCACTAAATGAATCTTTCCTGGATCCAAACAAATGCTACAAATGCCAGATTTTTAAGTTCTCAACTCACAGAATTAAAAGCCCTTCAACTGTTAACTGTCCTGTGTGACTCACCTATTCAGAAAATTTTCCCCTAGAAGCTGTGCAAAGTAACCGACGCACGCCTGCAGTGTAGGACAACATGGGGGATGTTCTCTTTTATGAGGCAAAAGTCATTTTTTTAGAACTGAAAATGAAAGAGGTGCTATGGAGAGAAACAGTTTCGTAACAGTATAAAAGCAAAGACTGTCTGCAATCTGTAGCTTTGAAAGTAAAAATAATAAAATAACCACTCTATACTGAACTCCTCCCACAGTGAACCATCTGCTCTACACATGGCGGTGAGGAATGACCCTGGCTGACCACAGGGGAAGCCTGCCGCCCCCACCAGGCCAGGCCCTGCCCTCCCCTGCTCCACTGTGCACAAGGTGGCACCGCCTACTGCAAGGCAGTTGGAGAGACGGGGAGCTTCTCTCACTACCTGCTAACTCAACAGGAGTGAGTTCACTTGACTGAGCTCTGGCCTCCAACGTTTCTGTGCATAATTTTATGAAGAATCTAAATGCCATTCACTAGATCAAAAAGAAAAAAATAGAAAACTCTGGACCAAGTAAATTTTGAACTCAGAAAGTTAGGAGGGACACCAGTTACATTAACAACACTTTCTTTAAAAAATAGAATCACTTTCTTTTGAAATCAACCACAGTGGTGAGACGTGTTTTTCTTTTCAGGTGCCCCATGATGGCACACAGCTGTACCCAGCAAATCCTGCCAGCTTCCGAGTCCCGGGATGCTGCCCTGCACCAGCACATGGGGCAGCGTTACCTCCCGACAGTGTGGAGAAGAGCACATGTCACCACTGGGCGATGGGAGAGCTGAAAGAGACTCGTGGCTTCTCAACGCCAGACACGGTTGAAGAGCTTTCCTTGTTCTATTACAAAAGTTCATGAGGAAGCTGTGAATAGGATCAGTCCAGAGAAGTAAAACTCTTTTATTTTCACTGTCCAAACATCAGTCAATGTACTGGGAAAGCCAGCGGAAGCCCTCGCCGTAGCCTTGCCTCTTGAGCACACTGCACATGAACACTTCCATGGGGCGGGCATTCAGCTCCTTCAGGGTCACATTCCCCTAAGGGAGGCAAAACCAAGAAAGGCCTGTTAGCATCCCCATGGTGGAAAAGCTTGAAAGGGTGATCACAAATCACTCTCTTCATTCCTCAAAAGCAAATGGAAGTAGGAATTAATTATAGAAATGTGGTCAAGGCCATACAGATAACTTCCCCAGAGCCTCATGCTTTCAGCACAGTTCTATTCCCACTCTTTGTAAAGAGCCTTTACTTTTAACACACCAGCATCTGGAAAGTTATGACAGCTAACCAAGAAAAAGGCCACTAGGACCCCAGAACCAGCATGCTCTTTGATGGAGAGAAGTCCAAGACTCTTTTGAAATGACATTCTTGGGGCACCTGGGTGGCTCAGTCAGTTAAGCGTCGAACTCTTGGTTTCGGCTCAGGTCATGATCTCAGGGTCATGAGATCGAGCCCCATATAAGGCTCCTCACTCAGTGGGGAGTTGGCTCAAGATTCTCTCTCCCTCCGCCCCTCCCCCCACCACACATGCCCGCTCTTTCTCTCAAATAAATCTTAAAAAAAAAGGGGGGGGAGCCTGGCTGACTCCGTGGATTAAGCATCTGCCTTCGGCTCAGGTCACGATCTCAGCGTATTGGGATCGAGCACCGAGTGGGACTCCCGTGCTCAGCAGGGAATCAGCTTCTCCCTCTCCCTCTGACCCTCCCCTTGCTTGTGCTCTCTCTCTG